AGCTAACACCGTAGTCGTGTCTGGCAGCTTCTTGTCGAAGGACACTCCTGAAACACTCGTCTGCTAACGCGTGCTTTATTTCAATAGGTAATCGTTCTACCTGCAAGTTTCATTGGGTAGTGAAAGATGGATGTGACGATCACCCCTGTGACAATCTGGTTGAACAGCACTAACCTTACGGCTTCAACATATTTCGAGAATGATGGCTGAAATCGAAATAAATAAGTTTTGTTCACGCGGATCAGCGCATTCCTTGATTACCGTTTTATCCTGTTGTATTTTGAATCTCCTTGACCATGGCGAATCGAAAGTATCTATCAAGACGAAAATCGAATTGAAAAGATAAAAGAAGATATTGACTACAGCGAGACCGGCTACGACACTGAAACAGACCTATGATTTTCAATTTATTTCTTGAGTGAGCGTATTCAAGTAACGAGCAAATGTTTTCCAACGAAGTTTTGTATATGAAAGTTTTTTTTCTGATTGGGCCTTACGCTAACAACCTTCATTGAAAACAAGCGCGATGTTGGTGGACCCTTCTGGTGTGATGGGAATTTCTTCCGTATGAAACTCTGTGGAGAACATTCGCTGAATATACACGACACACACAATCCTCAGACTTTGTAAGCCCACGAAATGGTTCTGAGCTGGTTTCTCTAGCAAGCATCCACTGAGATTCACGACATGTCTGCCATCCGAAATGAACAAACCCTTACACTTCAACGGCACCTATTGATGTTGCTTCAATTCCAAGGAATCTAACCGATCCTCTTTCTGTTGTTGCATAATTTAGCATTACTTATTATTGTAAAGGTTTGGAGATTTTCGTAATTTTCTGTTTCACTAGCCGTACAACAGGGGTGACGAATTCTTTTTCTGATCAAATCCGCCCGTTATAAATCAGTTCATAAANAAACTTGTTATCAGATGGCGGGGTTTCCGTGACACTACCGCTATCAACTTCAGGAAAGGCGTTGATATTGGTTTAATGAGCTCAGTTCGAGAATAGTATGATGTCATCTGAAAACTATTCCTCAATGAAAACTGAAAGAAAGCCATACCGTGTATAGAAGGAAGCAGGTGGTAGCCTTCCCTTCTACCAAAATGTTGTCGCTTATCACACCTTGAGCAGTGATTTCTTTTGGTCGCTAACTGCGATTGATAGTCGCACCAGCGGAATCGATGATATCGCTTTGGAGCTGTTAAGTTGAGAAGTTATGCATTGCATAACCCCAAAAAGCTCAAGAAAAGGTGGAGTTGCTCAAAATTTCCCTGATGTTTCTTCAAGTTGCCTCAACTACTCCGCCTAATTATCCAAACTTGTTTCCGAGCAGAACTGACATGGAAACTGATGATTCTTTCGCGCAATTGTTATCAAGCAGAATTCGAGTTTCAGATCGGTTTTTTTCTTATTGTACGCAGATGAGCAGTGGAGCTTCTTCCCAAAACACAGCGTTGATGGGAGTTGATGGGCCATTTTTCCTGGGTACCCAGAACGGTAGTAAGCAGCCTCGCTCATTCTAACACATTCCCACATTCCTCTCTATTTTAGGAGGCTTTTGTTTGCGCAAAGTTCAAAGAAGTCGAAAATTGTTAAATTATAGTGACTCTTGACAGTAGTGACCTGTAAGGAGAATATGCCACTAGAAATTTCCTGAAATACCACACTACTTATAATTAAGACGCCAAACTACGATACAGGAGCGAGTAGTTTGACTCCTTTGATCAAGGTCAAAAGGTCCAGGAAATAACTTCCGCGCATTTAAAGATCGAATGCATTACGAGTTAGTCCAAGATGCTTTTTTTAGTTATCTCCACTTGATGAAGTAGGTATACATTCACAAGATTCCGGAGGTCGGACAAAACTGGGGGTGTTGGAAATCTAGCAGCAACATCTTCATCTACTTTTTTGCTAGAGTAGTTCCAAAGCTAATGGTAAGAATGAATGACATTGACGGGAATTCGCTAGTTATCACCGACACTATGGAAAGCCACCCCCCCCCCCCCCCCCCCTCCATAACGGCTGCTATTCTTGTGCACAAAATGCCAACTTTCGGGTGGCGATTGCAGAAGTTGATTTGGAAGGAGAAACTAACGGGTACAGCAGAATTTGCTCCCTCTAACGACGTCATGGGAACAAAAAAATGAACATAGAAAGCAGAACAGATCTTGAAAGAGCGTACTTGATGAGAAACTCATTGCCGTTGAAGAATTCGTAGATCCAGCTGTATCCTCGTTCCATCAATTTCAAATGATTGGCTTCCATTTTGCTCGACACGTAGATAAGACGACAATCTTTTTCTGCGTCAACAGCTGATTGCTGTGAAGAGCAAAAATTGGTGAAATGGTCAGAGTCTAGTCTCGCGAAATGACAAAACGCTGTGTTCCTTAACACTACGCAGTCTAGCGGAGCGGTACAGTCATTCGGTTTCAGCCTTATCACTGCTATCAAAAACCAAATAGTCGAATATACGAACAACGGGACTGAACTGTTCATGATCTGATCAAGGGTGGGTGTCCCAGAGAAATCAAATCATTTCTTTCAACAAATTATTTTTTCTTTCAGAAATGAACCATTAAAGAGAAACGGGGAGCGACGTTAGTTGGACGACTGTCACAAATCGTGAGCAGGAAATAAGAAAGAAATGGCTATAGAAGACAGCTACACTAGCTGACAACATACTGTACTTCTTTCGACCTTTCATGGCAGAGTGATCTACAAGTATGAGGACAGTTCATGGGAATCCTGACAAAACTCGACCAATCTAAAAATGGGATTGGCATGTCCATCGGAAAGTGAACATCCTTCTTTGATGAGTGTACCTGAGGTTGGTAATATGACGAGAGTTTGCAATGAGCTGTTTCACGCTCCTCCCAGGGGAGACCGTAGAGTGACCCAGCAAACGTCAATACCTCTGCAGTTACCCAAGGGTCAGTTTGAAGTGCTATTTTTGTTTCTGAGTGGTTTCCTGCGATAGCCAGAGGGTCTTTATTGTGACCTGATAAATGTCGTTGCCATTCTGATTATTCAAAGAGTAAAGATTCATTTTTCTTGCTTTTGACGATATCAAAGCCTAACAGAGTCAAAATGATGGTGAATCACACTTTTTTCGATTCATTTGTGTTCCATTCAAATGCTTAATTTTGAGGGTCCCCTTGCTTCTTTCAGTTTTCTCCCTCAGTGGTAAATTATAGAATTCTGAGAAATATCCAAAAGCAGGCATCATGGACAAATGGAATTCCGTCGCCTTCTGCGACTGGTTGCATGATAGGGAGGGAGGGGGAAGGGGGGAAGGGTGGGGGTATTGTTCACTTGGATGAGTCTACATCAACCTCTTCGGAGGGAGCCCGATTAAGCAAATATATAAAAAAAAGTCGGAAGCATATAACAAAGTGTCCCTAGAGCGAGAACGATCCAGGATCAATCTGACTCGCGACAGAGACAAATGGAGACGTCATTGACCGAAGCTCGAGGAAATCGATGATCAACGGGACTGCAGATGATAACAAAGTCAGAAGGGGTCAACTCAATACTATTGACTAACAATCCTCAGTAAACGATATCATATTGTTTTCTAATTCAAATTATCACCACTTACTAAATCCAATATGGTTTTGTTCTCAAAGTAAATTTGTTTGTTCGGACAGCACTCTGAGAGGTATTTCTGTTCGTTATTGTTCATCTGTGGGTAGTAATATCAAGAGCCACACATCGACCCACAGCTGAGCAGACACATTTTTAGTATTCGGGTATTGCCGTAGTCCAGTGAGCAAGGCTTAACTGCAAGGAAGTCACGAACTCTATTCTATCAAAGTGTCCGTCTCTCTAGCATTTGTTTTATCTTGTGATTTGTAGCCTCAGCAATTTTAAAGTACTCAGAAGGTGCTAGATGACGGAGGCTAATCAATAAAAGCAAAGTTCGAGAATTTGAAGAGCACTGATTCAAAACGAGATCGAATGGAGCCTATAGATATCCTTGTCTGAAATGGCTTTTTCCCGACTCAAAACGGTTCTCCTCCTTCGGAGCTACCAGCGAATAACAAAGCGAAGATGGCAGATCTGTGTATCCTTTCGAAAGAATCTGTGTGGTGGTTTCTCGCTGACTGGAGCGAACTTTCAGCTGTCGTCCGCATTTGCTGGACTGGGAAAAGTTTGCTTTGTTATGGTTAATGGCACGTTTCCTATATATCTGGGGTAAGAGGGCTCATCCCTCTTTCTGCAAGATTGACGATTCGCACTGCGCGCTCTAGATCATCGACATTTACATAACGTATTCGACGGCAGGGATATATGATGCTTTTGCAGATCTGAAGTGTTCAATAGAATGGAGAAAACTGTTAGCATTAACATTCATTTATGACATTTCTTGTCACAATCTTTTTCGCTGTCAGCTTCAGAGAGAACTTGTCCCTCTGAATATTATAGATCTTCGAATGAGATACACAGAAGTTGTGGGTGAGCTGTGGGTTTCAAAACCGAATTGCATATCAGCACAGTTTTACAAAAAAGAAATTCCAAAAGACGACGGGGTGCGAAAGAAGTTGTCTCTTGGATGTGCTGTTGCAAAAAAATATTCAGAAAACAGTGTGATTATGAGTCATTGCTCTGCCGACAAAACCAGGAAACTTATTAGTGAGCATGGCTCTGTTTCTTGCCAATTTCTTCTACTTATTTTCCTTCAACTCGACAGTTTAACAATCTTACATTTATTCTCGTGAGACATATCGTAAGCCAATGCCACAGTGATGTGAAAGTCTTCTCAACTTCTTTTTTCTCGTATACGAGAAACCTGGGATAATAGGTTGTCTATCCTTGAATAGGACATCGCTTTCAAAATGACATTAATTCAATACTAGTACCACCTCCAAACCCAAATTTCGAACATACAGTAGCGCTCAAAAGTTTTCGTCCAAACGCTTTTGTAACTTTTTTCTTATCGGCAAATGGCGCGGAATATATATATATATATATATATATATATATATATATATAT